TGCAGTCACCGGGAGAGGGTGTCAGGAACAGAGCAGCTGCTGCAGGAGAGGAAGGTGGGGTAGGGAGGAAGGCAAACATTCCACTGACCTGTTCCCTGTGGGGCAGCAGCAGGCAAAGGGGTCTGTGCAGATCAGCGGCGCTTCCTGGTCCCTCTTGCTCCTTTGGGATCCATGTCCTAAAGCGGCTCCTGCCAGGTCAGGGACATGAAGAGAAAGTGCCCAGCTCACCAGGAGCTGCCCATTCCCGTCCTGCTGGCTCTCTCTGTGCCATGTCCTGATGTTGTTTCCCAGGGCTCGGTGTAGTCTTTGGGCAGTCGGAAATGGTTTTACAAATTTTCCTCCGTCATTGCTCCACAGTCTCTGAGTTATTGATCTTGTTTTTTTTTTCATTTTCCCTACAAATCAAGTAGTCTTTTTGGTTGTTGTGAGAAACGATGCCTCACTTCTTAAATTTTTAGAAAGTTTATTAAACTACAACACGGGACAAAATAAGGTCCAGAGCTACACTGCCCAAAACAGAAACAGGCTTCGTACCCTCTTGGTAAGCCAACCCCATGGTAATCCAACCCTGGCATTCAGACACATTCCGCTTTTCCAGCACAGCTCCTCCTCCGTCCCGCCTTCCCCGAGCTTGTGCAGCGCTTCGGGCTTCGGCTCCCCACAATGGTCAGAGATCAGCATGACAACTCTCAACATGAACGCAGTACTCACGTTGGAAAAACTCCAAATTTTAACAGAGCTTCTTTGAACATTATAACACACGTAATATTCATTCAATGTTTCTGAGAGTGAATCACCATAGCACCTGTTTATAACATTTGTAAATATGTCCTCATTTTCCCCTAATTAGAAACAGTCCTTCCCAGGAGAGTGTCCCATTCTTCAACTGCATTCCCTTACCTGAAAGGTTTCTACCATTCCTCATTTCTCTTCCCTGAGAGGTCATTGTCCCTCCAGCAGCAGAGAGATGATGGTGACGCTGGTGGCACTGGAATGCTGCTGGCAATGCTGCTGAAGCATCTGTCTGCTTATCAGAAACAACTCCCATTCTGGGAACAGCTCCATGATCATTGCAAAAACATTCTTAGGGCCAAAGGAAGCACAGCTGAGCGGTTTCCTATCCTATTCCAATCCCATCTCCATCATCACCCCATCCTATCACATCCCACAGCTTTCCAAGACGAAGCCATTCCTCCACTGCAAGTGCTGCCGGCAAGCTCTGCACTCCTCCAGTGGGGAGATTTGGGATTGTCGGCACCCAGAGCCTTCCTGAACTCTTCCAGACACCTCTCAGAACTTCCAGACCCTCCCTGGCTCCGTCTTTTCCCCTATGAGAGCCCTGCTCCTGCCCTGCTCCACCCAGGACCATGAGCAGTGTCTGTGCTTCCCCCAGCCATTCCTGCTTTTGTACATGAAAATAAACAATTTAACAAAGAAAGGACATGAACAGCATTTAGCTGGAATGGTATCTCATGCCTTAACCTTGCTTCCAGGCCTGCCCCAGTGAGATGTCTCAGGTACTAACACAGCTGAGAGAGCAGCATTTCTGCCACATTTGCCGGAGCAGATGCAGACGTGTGTGCACACAGCCAGCCAGGCAGGCAGAGTGAGTGCAAGGTGCCTGTGAGCAATTGCCCTGGCAGGCAGTGAAATGCTCCCTGCGGATCCCTTTGCATCTCCTCCCTGGGCCAAGGGCTGGGCCTGGAGCCCTGGGGGGATGGGCCCAGGAGCCGTGGGCGTTCGGGGATCAGCCCAGGGCAGCAGCCGGGAGAGATCCCAGCTGGGAGAGGCCCCAGTGCCAGGGAGCTTCTGCTCAGCGCTGCTGGGCCCAGCAGAGCTCCAAGGCTCTCCTTTGGGGCCGCTGCTCACAGGGCCCCAAGGCATGGGCGGCACTCACAGCAATGGTTCAGCCTGGCCACACTTGGGGCCGGCAGCTTGCTGGGACAGTGGCAGAGCAGGGATGCTGTGGCATCCAGGGCAGTACAAGAATTTCCAAGGCTGTTGATAAAAGCCTAGGAGGTGGTTGGACAGCAGCAGTTACTGGGAGCAGAGGGTGTTTCTGATCAGCTCCACAGAAGCTGAGCCCAGGGGCTGCTCCTCAAGGCTGAGGTCTCCCAAGCACGGATCAGAGCCCAGAGCGGCCTGGAAAGGGGCTGGGGATGCAGCAGCACAAGGAGGGTGATCCTGTGGGTATTTACTTATCAGGAGACTCAAGGCATCTCTCAGCCACTGTCCCGGGGTACTTCAGCAGTGCAGTGGAAGGGATCAAGAGGCTCAGACCCCTGTGTCCACAGAGGGATCATTTCCAGAGGCAGTGTTTTCTTTTGGCTCCTCAAACACCCTGTGGATCGCCTCCCTTAGGGATTGGATGGAGGAGTGCTTCCTGCAGCTCTCCAGGGAGCAGTGTCTGCAGTAGCTCCCCATGGAGCAGTCTCTCTTCCAGCTCCCCACCAAGAAGCAGATGAAGGGTTTGATGCTGCTGTTGATGCAGCCAAGTAGGAAAAGCGCCTGGGAGGACACAACTGTGTAACCGAGCTGCTGTAGGAGAAACCAGAGACTGAGGGGCAGACTGAAGAGTGCAACGAGGAAGACAACAATGTCAAGCCTCTTGTGGGGCTGCTGCCGGGAGCCAGGCTTGAGATGAATGAAGAGGATTGTGCTGGAAATGACCATGGGTACAGCAAATAGAAAGAGGTTGAGGGCGTACATGGAGGTGAGAGCCACCTGGCATTGCTCCTGCTCATGTGACTGGCACAGGGCAGTCACAGTGGGATTGACAGCGATGAAAACGAAGAGGAGGACCCAGAACAGGGCAGTCATCAACACCCATAACAAGTGTTCCGGCAGTTGGCAACCACAGAATACCAGGCAGAGGATGGATCTGCATCTCTGAATGCTGATGAATGTCAGCCGGTACAGCCCTATAATGTAGGTGAACAGCGACAGCTGGAAAAGCAAGCTCAAATACATCAGGGGCATTATAGCAGAGCAGGAAACCTCCTCCACAAGGAATAGCAGGGTGGAGGGCAACATGAAGATGAGGAAGAGGAAGTCGATGATGGCCTGTTTGGAGATGAAGTGGGTGATGGCATTAACGTGCAGGAGCCAGAGAATAAGTCCATTCCCAGCCAGCCCACAGAGGCCAACGAGCAGCATCATAAAGTCTATGGCCATGTTGGAGACATTGATCTCACACTGAGCAGGTGTGTCAGTCGGTGAGATGAAAAGAGGGGACAAGGTGCTCACCTCCATGGATGGACGCTGGGCAGGCAGTGGGATGTGGCCCTGGCTGTGGTCAGAGTGGATGGGCAGTCAGTGCTTGGAGAATCCAAGGATGGACCATGTGGCTCCTCAGGAGCTCCCTGCAGTGGGAAGGATTCAGTGGGGAGGAGTGAGATGTGCAGGGGAGGAGGGCGGTGGAAATTGTGGGGTTGGAGGGTTGGGCTGGTTTGCAGGGGATTGATAAATAAGAGAATAAATATTTTCAACTCCCCTGAAGTTGCTCAAAGATTAGTGGTCCCTAAGTGGCCAAAAAGATTAAAGGAAATAAGGGTGTGGACCTAGGGTGATAAATGTGGCTGGAGCCTTTGCAGACACAGATAAGGAGGCCTGCAGTATTTTTGGGGCCAGTTCAATAACAAGATGCAAGAGCATATGGCCAAAGAAAAAATTCAAGGCAAGGTCATCTTTAATATCAGAGTGAATATGAACACCAGAGACCTCTCTCAGTGAACCTCCAGAAGCATCAAAAGACTCCAAGTGAGAAATGGATGCATGGAAATGAGTTCTAGGAAAATGGTGTTTATGTACTAGATGAAAAAGACATTTAAATATCTATGTGTGGTTATAATGGATAAAACCCCTGCTGTAAGGTCTCGTTACATACAGATCAAAAAGAGATCCTTCTGTGTGTGCTATGCAGGTAGGGAATTTCTGCTTCCAAAGTCTTCCCATTGTTTTAGAAAGTTTATTTCAGCCGATTTCATTGGCAAGAAACAGACGGGATGCACAGGACAGAGGAGGGGNCACTTGGGGCCGGCAGCTTGCTGGGACAGTGGCAGAGCAGGGATGCTGTGGCATCCAGGGCAGTACAAGAATTTCCAAGGCTGTTGATAAAAGCCCAGGAGGTGGTTGGACAGTAGCAGTTGCTGAGAGCAGAGGGTGTTTCTGATCAGCGCCACAGGAGCTGAACCCAGGGGCTGCTCCTCAAGGCTGAGGCCTCCCAAGTACGGATAAGAGCCCAGAGCGGCCTGGAAAGGGGCTGGGGATGCAGCAGCACAGGGGGGGTGATCCTGTGGGTATTTATTGATCAGGAGACTCAAGGCATCTCTCAGCCACTGTCCCAGGGTCCTTCAGCAGTGCATTGAAAGGGATCAAGAGGCTCAGACCCCGGTGTCCATGAGCGGATCATTTCTGTGGGCAGTGTTTTCTTCTGGCTCCTCAAAGACCCTCCTGAGGGAGAGCCAGAGGGACCCCACAGAGCAAGGCTTCCAACACCTCCCCACCAAGAAGCAAATGATGGGGTTGATGCTTCTGTGGATGCAGGTGAGCAGGAAAAGAACCTGGGAGGACACAATGGTGTAGCTGAGTTCCTGCAGGAGATTGCAGAGACTGAGGGGCAGAGTGAAGAGCACAATGAGGCAGATAAGAATGTCGAGTCTCTTGGGCTGCTGCTGATGGGAGCCAGGCATGAAATGAGTGAAGGCAATTTTGCTGGAAATGAGGATGAAGGGAGCACAGAGGAGGAGGTTGAAGGTGTGCACGAAGAGGTAAAAAACCCAGCAGTGCTCAGGTAGCAGGACAATGCACAGAGAAAATATTATGGCAATGATAACGACAATGATGAAAGTAATGAAGAAGGCCCTGAGCAGGGCATGCATCTCCTTCAACAGCTGCTGGGGATGGTGGCAGCAGTGCCAGAGTGGGCAGTGTATGGACCTGCACCTCTTGATGCTGATGAATGTCAGTGTGCACAGCCACACACTGTGTGACACTGCTGACACCCTGAAAAGCAACCCCATGTACTGCAAGGGCATGATGATAGAGCAGGACACATTCTCCAGCAGGAAGAGCAGAGTGGAGGGCAACACAAAGAGGAGGAGGAGGAGGAAGTCCAAAAAAGTCAGCACGAGGATGTAAAGGATGGTGCTGTTGCTGGATGAACAGTGGGACCCAAGGAGCCAGAGCACAGCCCCGTTCCCAGCCAGCTCACAGAGGCAGATGAGCAGTGTCACACTGTGTATGGCCACGCTGGTGACATCTGTCTCACACAGATCATCTCCTTCAGTGGGTGAGGCAGGAGATGGGGACACGGTGGTCACCTCCATGGATGGACNTGCAGGAGAGGAAGGTGGGGTAGGGAGGAAGGCAAACATTGCACTGACCTGTTCCCTGTGGGGCAGCAGCAGGCAAAGGGCTCTGTGCAGATCAGCGGCGCTTCCTGGTCCCTCTTGCTCCTTTGGGATCCATGTCCTAAAGCGGCTCCTGCCAGGTCAGGGACATGAAGGAGAAAGTGCCCAGATCAGGGAGCTCCCAGGAGCTCCCCATTCCCGTCCTGCTGGCTCCTCTCTGCGCCCTGTCCTGGTGTTGATCCCCAAGGCTCGGTGGAGTCTTGGGAAAGTCAGAAATTGCATCTTTGGCTTTGTAAGAATTTCACTTCCTCACACTTATTTATCATGCCTTTTTGCTACAGAGGAAGTGACTTTTGTCAAAAGCTCCAAATGAAATATTTTGCAGATGGTTTATCATTCCCTCCTGATGAGAAACATTTCTTCCCTGCAGAGTGTCCCATTCTGCTTTCCCTCTCCTGGCTGGCTTCTACCATTCCCTGCTTCTTTTCTAACAGAGGTCACTGTCCCTCCAGCAGCAGAGGGATGCTGGTTGTGCTGGTGGCACTGGAATGCTGACAGTGCTGGATGTTCTGATAAGTCAGCTGGGTGCTTCTCAGAAGTAACTCCTATTTAGGGAAGAGCTCTGGGATCATTGCCAAAGCCTCCCCTCAATCCAAGGAAGCAGAGCTGAGCTGGTCCCTATCCGATCCTATCCTATCCTATCCTATCCTATCCTATCCTATCCTATCCTATCCTATCCTAATCCCATTTCCACTCTGCACCCCATTCCCACCCCACTCTCCATCCTCACCCCATCCTATCACATCCCACAGCTTTCCCAGATGGAGCCTCTCCCCCACTCTGAGTGTGGCTTGTCAGGCTCTGCTCTCCTCTGGCTTTGCCAGGATCCAGACCTCCTCCAGCCCCCTCTGACCCTCTCCTGACCCCTCCAGCCTGCTCTGACACCCCAGAACACATCCGGGGCTGATTTTTTTCCCCTGACTGCCCCACTCCTCCCCTGCTCCACCAGAGACTTTGGCAGAGTCCCTGCTCCTGCGGGCCATAGGGGTCTAAGTCCCAGGAGGGAAGAGGAAAGCCCAGCCCCAATGTGTTCTGCAGGACCACACAGGATGATAAATGTGTCTGGAGCCAGTGCAGAAAAAGATTTGGATGCCTGCAGTGGTTTTGGGGCAAGTTCTGTAACAAGAAGGAAGATCACGTGGCCAAAGGAAAAGTTCAAGGCAAGGTCACCTTTAATATCACAGCACTCAGTGAATGCGACCACCAGAGACCCCTCTGAATGATCCTCCAGGATCAGGGAAGGACTTGGAGATGGAGGTGGATGCCTGGAAATAAGTCCCAGGAAAGTGATGTTTATGTATTAGGTAAGAAAGACACTTTAATGTCTGTGTGTGGTTATGATGGGTACAACCCCTGTTGTAAAGTCTCACCCCAAACAGAAATATGGAGGGATGTGTATGAGCTGTAATGAGAGATGCAGGACTCCAGGTGGGTCTTCAACATGCAATTTATTCCATCCAAGATGCTCCAGCAGTCCAGTGCCGTGGGTGACAGAGCCTGTGCCCACAGCTGTCAGCTCCAGCTGCAGGCAGGCCTGGAGACCCTTTGGTTTAGGTTACATTACATTACATACTTTTCTCTGCTGAGCATCTTAATACAGTAGAACCAATCTATACATTAGCTTTTATCTGTAGCCTGTCTTAGCTACTATAATTACCATATTCATGTTACTATTCTCCAGTCACTAAAAGTTAGTACATTACAGTTTAAACTAGAAGTTGTTAATCAGTTTTCTTGCATTTGAAAATTCTGAGACCTTTTTTCTACTTGCAACATCAGCAGGCTTGTTTGCCTGTGCTCTCTTTCTGGTGTGTAAAAACATCTTCTCGTTTGAGGTGAGTTTATCCTTTGCTCTAAGTCATAAAACCCCCTTCTCACTAACTTGCCCTTTGCCTCCTTGGTTATCCAGCAAGATTGGCTCAGCAATTCTTTTCTTCTATATCAAAACTTGCTTCCATCTCTATTCCTTCTTCAGATTCTACATTCAAAAGTCTTTCTGCTAAGCATACATATGTATGAGACTTTCTTCAGATTCTACATTCAAAACTCTTTCTGCTAAGCACACATATGTGTGAAACTTTTTTGCCAAACTTTCATTCTTCTTAAATGACATTGTACTGTATGTCCTTTGGAAGTAAAGAATTCCTGATTCCTAATGCTTCCCATTGTGTTTGAAAGTTTATTCCGGGTGATTTGGTGTCACTTCCAGTTCCCATCTCCACTCCACTCCCTATCCCATGCTATGCCACGCCATCCCATGCCATGCCATCCCATCCCATCCCATCTCATCCCATCCCATCCCATCCCATCCCATCCCATCCCATCCC